TCTTATTCCCTAGTATAAACCTTGCTAGATCTTCAGTAGCTGCATCACGTTCTCTATCAATCTTATGAATTTTAACTTCATAATTTTCAGCTCTACCTTTCCACTGGGCTTTTTCTTCTTGAAGTTCTTGAATCTCTTTCTTTAACTTGATCTTTTCAAATTCAAATTCTTTTGTTGCCAGCTCTAACTCTGATGGTATCTCTTCAAGCTTTTCTTCTATCGGTGGTTGAGAGACTTCATAAGTGAATACCATTTCTTGTCTTCTCTTTGTTCTCCAAACCAAGTAACCTGGAGTGACTTTTTCAGTGAATGGTCCAGGACTCACTCTTTGGGGATTTTTCCATGCTTTGATCATCCCATTCATCCTCTGAAATGCTTTAGGCTCACTGTAAGAGAAATCTAACTGATGAAGCCCATAAGTCATAGGAATAAACTGTTTTCCCCCCAATTGTCTCCTCACTAAGAGCGGTGCATAATTCGTCACTCCCCATAAACCCAGAAGTGGAACCACTGTACTATCTCCGCATTGGTATAACATAGGCTCTCGATTCATCTATGGGGCTAACCATCTCACTCTGGCACCTTCCAACTTTTGCAAGAAAGTTATCCATTCTTGTTTAGACTTCTGCTTTGACCACCCACTTTCACAGAACTCTTTGATCGGAAAGCGATTACGGATATAAATCTTCGAGAAAACACCATTTCCTTGTTCAAAATGGCTTTTCATCCACACGTACAATAGCTGTATGCATCCTATGAAGCGCCCTCCATTTCAATGACAATAACTCAAAGATCTGATAGTCTCTGCTAATATTACCGTTGAAAGATTACAGCCATTGATCACACTCTCAAAGAAATCAATCACTGCTATCTCAATATGTCCCAAAACCTTTTGAAAGATTACCAGTCCGTATATAGCCAAGGCAAATATGTCTAACCCTCGTTCTTCATTGACGTGTTGCATCAAAAACTCATGAAAGAACTTCCAAGGTAGGCAAACCTGTTCTTGTTTCTTCTTTGTATGAGAATCCACAACTTCCTTGTCTATCCCCATGAGTTGAGCCAGACTTTTACGAAATCCTGACTTATGTTTTTTGACATATATCTTGTCAGGAGTCTTTAGATGCAAACCCAATAAGACCAAATATTCTTCTATGGTGAGAGTCATATCAGCTTCATTAAAGATGAAACACCTGTATGCAGGATCCCAAAACTGTGTTGCAGCTCTAATTAGTTGATCATCAACAGCCACTGCTAGAAGGTGTGCTATATGCCCATGCTTCTGACAAAACTGCCCTTATCTTGACAGACTCATCTTCTTCCAGATGTCAACCAAATCTTCTAAATTGTTCTGTTTGAGGAGGACAGATGTTTTTTGAGACAGAGTAGACTCATACCCAATTGGCAAGCAATCTCCCATCTTCAATTGAGTCTTTTCTGATAGGGCCCTTACTTCATCAGGTGTCCCACAGGGTGCTAATACTGATGAAGAGCAAACTAGGTGTTCATTGGTGTCCATGAAAAAAAATTTGTTGAAGACCGTTTTTCAAGCAAATGTTCTTTTATGCAACCTTATGATATGCGTATGAACCAATGCAAAAGAAATAAGAAAAAGGTTAGTATACCCAGAAAAAGAACAAATAACTAAGTAATTTTACACATCACACATCACACAAAGTAAAAAAGATGAATCCTATGCTTTTGGTCAATTCTAAAAAGGAAGAGTGATAGCTCTATCTATAGGTTAGGCATTCTTAAAGTTCACTACATACGATTTTAAGGTCAAAGTCTAAAGGTTCTCAAATTGTTCCTTACATCCTTGTCCATCACAGACTAGTAAGGCACCCTAATCCTCACCCATTAAAGGCTACAAGCGGAAAATGTTCAATTTGAGTGGGAGTATTTCGCTAGCCACTACGGAGGTATTAGACCTCACGAAAGCAATAGGTACTTTACTCCCTCCTAGAGGGACGGAGCTCAGGTATAGAGCTCATGTTATGTACATGCATATGAATGACATAATCAACAAGGTAACTAAAACATGAATGAATAACAACACATATATACAACAAGGTTCAATTTCATTTGGCTTTTGGATAACACAAATTATTTGCTGGCCTGACTCTCAAGGTCCCAGCGTAGTCGCCAAGCTGTCATAACGTCTAGATCCGAGGATCTATCGTTAGACATTGACTTTAGGGAGTCGCCACCAATCTTTTTTGTCTGGGTGCGATTGGTCACCTAAGGAATCTGTCCTTTCAGGGAACACCTAAGCTTAAAGGTCCCTAAAAGAATAGGTTCAGGTCTGCTAACCAGAACAAAGTTCGGGAGTTCGGTTACGTGTGAGGAAGGTTATAGCACCCTCACAACGCCCATCAAAAGATGGTACCAGCTTAAATTTATGTTATCCAAAAGCCTTAAAATTTTACCAAGTAATTAATTATTAGAAATTATTCTCAATTGACTCTAATACTTTTAGCAGAAAATTGAGAAAATTCCCTCACCTCAAGAGTATGCAAGAAAAACTACTGTTTCACTTACAGAGGCTCCGTCGTCGGATTATTTAAAAGAAAAAAAAATCAAAATCAAAATTAAGATAGAAAGGAAGGAAAGAATGATTTTTTTTTGTAGGGAAAATTGATACTTTCAACTTTTCCCCAAAAATATTTTTTTGGAAATTTCGATTTTCAAGGAAAATTGATACTTTCAACTTTTCCTCAAAATCCCTTTTTTTGAAAATTTATTTCTAAGGAAAATTGATACTTTCAACTTTTCCCCAAAAATATTTTTTTTGAAAATTTATTTTTCTTTTAAGGAAAATTGATACTTTCAACTTTTCCCCAAAAATATTTTTTGAAAATTTATTTCTAAGGAAAATTGATGCTTTCAACTTTTCCCTAAAAATATATTTTTTTGGAATTTTTTATTTTTATTTAAAAAAAATAAAATAATAAAAAATAAATAAAAAGAATATTACATAAACCTAATCTAATAAATAAAAAATAAAATAAACAAATAAACAAAGAAAGAAAAAAAAAAAAAAACCTGGAGCGGCTCGGATCGCGGCTCGACTCGGCTCGGCTCAAGAAAGAGAAAACGGCTCGGGGGGAGCGGCTTGGCGGCTTGGCTCGGCTCGGCTCTGCTCGGAGGGGGCTGACACGCGCGGGTCAGAAAGCGGGTCGACGCCCGGGTCAGGTCGGGTTCGACAAAACGCGCGGATCTCCTGGTTAACTTAAAGCCCAAAACGACGTCGTTTTGGGAGGGTATAAAAGGCACCTTCCTCCGTTTTTCGGTAGAACGCTCCTCCCCCTCTCTCTCTCTTCTTATTTTTTCTCTCCTTTCTCTCTAGAAACTGAAGAACACCGGTGCCGAATTCTGGAAAAAGTCACCGGAATCTGGAAAGTTAGCCGAAGTTGGCCGGAAGTTTGCCGGTTTCTGGGATTATTCGTCGGTTTCTGGGATTCTTCACCGGAAACTGGGCAGGTCGTCGAAAACTTCAAGGTTGGCCGGAGATTTGGCCGGAAAATTCAAGTTTCGTCGAAAAATTCAACCGAAAACTGGAATTTCCAGAAATTCCCAGAAAAAAAAATCGAAAAATCTTCAAAAAAATTTCTTTTAGCTCCCAGAACACTCTTAAACCCTTTTTTAGCTTCCTATACGCCTCCTTGACTCTCAAATCAGTAGCTTTGCTCACTGTTTTCTGTGTGTTTTCATTCTGTTCCAGGAGGTGCTTTATATAGGGATTGATCAGGAGTTTCTGATCAATCCCAATTCCCCTTTGGACGGGAATTCAATCTTTGAATCCAGTATGGACTCTTCTGATTGAATTCCCACTCCCGGTGGGATTCTTCAACTTTCAATCCTAGCCCTCCAAAATAAAAATCAAAATAAAAAAAAAATTAGATAATTGGAGAAGATAAATCAGCAGATATTATAGGATAAATAATAATAAAAAAAATATATCAGATATATAATTAGATAAGTAAAAATACAAAAATGAATAAAATAAAAAAGATAAAAAATATATATATACATAAATAATAAAATACACATAAATATTAACAAAAAATAAATAAATAAATATATACATATATTAATACATAATAATAATAATAAATAATACAATACATAAAATACAAAAGAAGAAGAAAAGAAAAAAAATACAAGATAAAATTGAATTGGGCTTACCCATTTTGAATCAGGCCCAATTGATCTGGGCCGGACCCAATTGGGTGTCTACACTTATGGTTGAGGCTTGATTTATCAGTATAATTTTTGATTTAATTGAACCAACCAAAAACTTTGGCCAAAGGTAAAACCAACCATAAACTTCATAAATTATAACAATGCAAAACAATTGAATCCCATTTTCCATACATGGAAATTAGAAGTAGCATATGATAAATAAACTTTCAAAGTAATAATAATTAATTATGACAAAAATTAACTTAAAAAAAAAAAAAACTCCTAAGCAATTAGAATTAGTCTTCAATCGACAATTGTCCAAGTCATGTCATTCTCAAAGATCCAATGGCACACTTCAATTCGTCCAGGGCTGGATCCTAGTGCCACAAAGGCTCCATGACTCGGACTCCAAGCTGACGTGTCAAGATGACAAACGGCAACACCATGATTAATCTTGGATTGGCTTTCAACCTCAAGAATTTCAGCTTCGTAAGCCCTGACCTTGGGCACTGAGTGACAATAATAGAGTAGGTAAGGGTACAAACTCTGATGGCATGATACTAATTTTGTCACCTTCCCACCGTTGATTCCTTTGACTTCTCCTATCCTGATCTCTTGCTTTGATCCCTTCACATTTAGCGTTGTTCTGACCGTAACATTATGGCCTAAGACCAATGTTGCGAAGTCAATCATGTCTTCAACAGAGCCAACGCACCGCTTTGTCTCACCTCGACTCGCGGGCCTCTCGCATTCTGTCAGTGCGTTGACAAGCACGCGTTCCATGGTTGAATTTATCGGTGCTCCAAAAATTTCCCTAATTTCAGATATGTGGGAGGTTGAAAATGGTAATTTAGACAAAATCCGCCGGGGCAAAAATGACCTTTCGGGCATTTTATCCTCAATGTCGGGCATCACCATCACATTCCCTTGCTTCAAAATGGACTCCCTAAAGAATTTACCTGGTTCAACCCATATATTCACAGAAATGCCACTAATAAGGGAAGAAGCTGTTTCTTTAGAGCTTGAATTTGAGTATCCAGCAAATGTGACACCCTTTTTGGCATAATCCTTGAATGAACGGTCCAAACCATAAATTTTGAACCCTATTGTAGTGGAACCAGTGGAACCTTTACCATATTCTTTGAACGTGTCATTTCCAACATTAAATGTTTTCCCATAATTTGCAAAATTCACTTTCCCGGAATTTGAATTCCTTGCATAAGATTGAAAAGAATCATCTCCAACATTGGCAGAATCTCGATAGCTAGTAAAACTATTAATCCCCGAGTTAGCAGCTAAACTATAGCTTTTAAAGTTGTTATGGGGGTTGTTACCTGAGTCACCATAGGCTTTAAACGAGTCGTTTGGTGCGCTCCCTAATTCCCCATACCCTGTAAAACTTGACCCAATAATGTTTGCATTATCACTATAGCTAGTAAACTCTACTGGAACTGCATTGCCGTTCTTCCCATAACTAATGAATGCTTCGGAGCCTGAGTTTGTCTCAGGGCTATAGCTTGAGAAAGAGAGTTTATGGTTGTTACCATCCGAGTCATAGCTGGTGAATTGGAGGTTTGGCACGTTAACTCGTTCCTGATAGTTATTGAACTCACCGGAGCCTCCTGTGGCGCTGGAGCCATAGTTGGTGAAGTTATCACTAGCAACATTGGCGTCCTTGGCATAGCTTGAGAACTCTTCTCTATGGCCATTTGATTCACTGTTGTATTTCTTGAACGATTCATTGGGAGTATTTAGCCCATCGGAGTAGTTCTTGAACGAGTCGACCCCTCCGAGTCTTGACGTGCCATAATCTGAAAAGCTTTTACTGGAATACACCGCGAAGCTTGCATCCTGGTTACGCTTGCCAACAACGTCCGGTTTCGAGGAGTCCTCGAATAAACAGAAAAGATTGGCTAAGGAACAAAAAGATTCAATGTGGGAAGGTAAAGAGTTACTGTTGGCGAGTTTGGTGAGCTTGGCCAAGTCAATGGCGTTTAGTGGAGAAGCTTTGGAGATAAGAAATGGTGGCTTTGGAAGATTGTTGGAAATGTGCTTGTTCCAGTAACGAATCAAGGAGGCTTTGGCCGCAAATGGGTTCTCCTTAGCCTTGCTTGTGCCTGTACAAAAAACTTGCATCACCTGGAAATAGAATAAATGAAACTAAGTCAATAATGTAATATATATATATATATATATATATATAAGATAGAAGAGACAATATAGATCAAAAACAAGATTATGGAATTTAGTTTCTTACATTGGAAGATGAGAGAGAGAGGTACAAGAAGAAAAGGATGATTTTCATGTTGTTTATTCTCTACCACTACGAGTTGGTGAAGGCAGAGTGCCATGTTTGGGATATATATAACCGGAGTCTTATTTTCTCCGAATCCTTTTGTTTAAGTTTTGTTTTCTTTTTAACAAGTTTTATTTGAGGAAAAAATGGTTTTTAATTGAAAAAAGAAACTGATTTTTTTAGATGAAATTTGTGAAATTTTATATTAAAAATAATTAAATTAAAATTAAAATAAAAAATAAAAATAAAAAGTTCTGTTATATAAATAAAATGTGAAAAATTTTAAAAAAATTTCATAAATTTTGATATATTTTTTAAATAAATATTTTTAACAAAAGTTTTAATTAAATTATTACTGAATTCAAATCAAATTTGAATTATATATAAATAATATTTTAATAATTTTTTTTTATAAATTATGAATCTTCGTATTAAATTCTAATAATTTATCAATTTAAATTTTTATTAAATTATTTTTTTTTAAAAAATTCACTAACTTTATTTTAAAAATTTTATTTAAATTTTGTCCGGTCATGGATTTAATTTGAGAAGGACAAAAGTAAAAAAAACATTAATGACAAGATATAAAGAAAGCTAAAAGCTTTCAAGTTCAACGGCTACTTATGTTGACTTTCCGGTTGTTGTCGCTGGCTACTATTTATTAAGCTCCATTTGAAACTCATTGGAGCTGTGGTGCGGCACGAGTGGGATCATTTTTTTTTTTTTAATCTCAATTGTGTTCGAGCACTCGTTTGATGCGAAGGTCATGGCACAGTGGGAGCATTCCCACCAGCTGCAGCCCCAGCCCTCCAATGACCAATAAATTGATAAATAATTAGGGTTTTTTTAGTTTTATTCCTCTAGGTTTTTTTCAGCTCCAGTGTTCTAGTGATGACCTATTACAATAATTAATACCACTTATATCACCTATTTTTAATATTATCAAAATTAATTACACTGTAATTTGATCAAATGTACCCTAAAGCAACTTCAGCTTAAAATCCTTATATAAAAGAGCATTTGACAATCAAACAATGGAATTTGAAAAATTAAGGGATGTAATATTTGCTAACTGCCTATCTATTCTTGATTTGTTACCATATTAATTACTATATTGGTCAAGGTAAAGATGTCAATAAACAAGACATATGGATGATAGAGTATTCTTCATTTTTATTTTTAAATTTTTATATTATATTTATCGTTATATCTTTATTCAATGGATATTTTAAATTTATTAATATTTTTATATTTATAAGTATTCAATAAGTATAGATAATTTTTATATCTGTATTTTTTAGAAAAAAATTACTTTTTTTTAAAATTTATTTTTTAAAAAAATTATTTTTTTAGCTTTTTTATTTTTAACTTATATATTTAGATAATTTTTTATCAATATATATTAGTATATAATTTTTAATAAAATATATTAATTTTAATTAATCTAAAATAATAATTTATAAAAAATTTATCTAATAAAAATATATAAATAAAAATATATATAAGACATGAGTACGGAACGAAATGCTACATTATTCGTTCTTATTTTCAATCTTCATACCTTAAAAAAATTTAAAATTATATTATCTCTAACTTCATTTTTATTTAAATAAAAATTAATTATTTTATTGAATATAAATAAAATTGACAAGAACTTCTACTAAAAAAAAAAATCATGATTAGTAGATTTCCATTTGGTCTTCTCGAAAAAAAAAAACACAAAGTCCTATGTAGACACATTAAAGACAAAAACATTATACCTATAAATAAAAACATCATGACAACAACTTGAGCTACGCAGCACGTGGGTGCCATTAATTTGACATTCTTGCAATAAAGGACATTGAAAAAAGAATTGTTCTAGGATACATTTATAATAATGGTGGTTTTAGTTTAGTGCTAGAGGCCTGAAGCACTAAAAAAGTGAGTTAGGGTTAGGAAATCTAGATCCTAGACTAACTCGTTAGTGGGAAGAAATGGTTATTTTACGGGGATCCCATTTTTTCGTGTCTCAAATTGCGCCTCCTCCGTGGAAAAACAACGGAGTGAACAAATTCCAATTGGACAATATTGCACAAATACCCAAAAGGAGTGGCAAGTTGTTATATTAATTAGATACATAATTTAGAAAATCATGGATTTGGTGCCTCTGATTAATGAAAATATATAGTATTACTCATATTAAATATCATTGCAACTCTTGCATATATGCCGAGATTATGTAGAAAAATTTCAGTGGTTTTTGATGATTTCTATAGATCCTTTTATAGTACTTCAAAATTTAGAGATGCTTCTCTTTAGACTTTTCGATAAGCCCAAATACCCAAGGCCTGTCATTTTTTCTTTTTAATTTTAGAAGTAGGCCTGTCATTGCTAATTATCTCATCTAAGAAAAAATAATATTAACCATACGGTGTTGCTATTATTGTTGATAATCTAATTTAAATCTCTCAAATTTTGATCTGATTTAATTTTACAAAATTAAAATTTTTTTAAAAACTTAAATTTCGGACTGAATTAGATTTAAAAAGAAAAAGTTGGTTTTTAGTCAAATTTATTCTGCTATTATTATTGATAATCTAATTTAAATCTCTCAAATTTTGATCTGATTTAATTTTATAAAATTAAAATTTTTTTAAAAAATTAAATTTTGGATTGAATTAGATTTTAAAAAAAAGATGGTTTTTAGTATTGAATTAGATTTAAAAAGAAAAAGTTGGTTTTTAGTCAAATTTATTCTGATTTGATATGATATATATATAATATTTTTCATTATTTATTTAATTTTATATTTTTATTTTTATTTAAAAAATATTATTTTATAAATTTTAATCGGATCAAATCAATTACATTTTATACATATGCAAATCGAATCGAATATAACAAAAATATTTTAATATCAAATAAGATCAAAATTAAATATTTATTATATAAAATCTGAATAAAATTTGAGACAAACAAAAACTCTCCCTGAACTGATGTCATCTCTAGTTGCTATTATCAAAGCTCCAAAATTTGACCCGAAAAGGATCCATACAATAACCCTAATACTATGTGTCAACTAGCTGGTTGAGTTTTGGACTTGAATTTTTGAGCTTGATTCAGTCCAAAAATATTATTAAATAAACAAATATTATAAAATATATTTTAAAGATATTAAATATAATATTTTAACAATATCAACCGACCTTGACCCAGTTTGATCCATTTATACTTATATATATATTTTTGGCTAAAAATATCTTTATATTATCTAGAGCATAGGATAATGAATATTACTATTTTAACTTCTTATTATTGTCAATGCACTAAATGATACAAATACTGCATTTGTTATTGTGTCTACAGTTTTTGTAGATATACTTATGTAGATCTTGCATGAATAAAAAATGTTTACATGGTTTTGTTGAGAATAAAAGTAGTAATGCTATATGAATATCTTCATGTAACATATATATATATTTAAGGTATTTAGATGAGTCATAGTACATGTACAATTAATAATCAATATGAAGTTGCTCATTAATAAATATTGTCTCATATCCTATATTATAGTAATCACCTAATTAACAAACATAGGTCAAATTCAGTTGTGAATGATCAATTTACGAGTCTTTTAAATTTTAGATTTAAAAGATTCGTCTATATCTTTTAAAAAATAAATTTTTATAAAATTAAAATTTAATCCGCAGCACTTATGTATCCTTTTGCCTAATCCTTTGATCTCTCATAATTTTTTTTTCATTCACCGAACACAAGTTGCGCCATTCATAAACGACAATGTTGTGTAAATTTTATTTCCATCAATCAAAACTTCAAATAGAATGGTCTCTCTCTCTCTTTCTCACTCATGCGGAATACCGAGAAATTAGTGCAGATGCTTCAATTAAAGTATCGATTTACAAAAATCAATTAACCAAGTATCGTTTTGGGCTTGTAGCTTTTCATGAATTATGATGCTAGATTGCTAGCTAGAATTCCCAATTTGCTATTAGGAGAAACAAACACGATTGATTGGTGGCCTAACTAACTTAGTTTGGCATGGCTGTTGGGGGTCCAAATATAGTTTAAGGTCAATAGTCCAATTATCTTAGTAACATTGCTATTCAGCTCAAGTCCAATACCTACTACTTCTATTGACTTGACTCAGTTTTATCATCCAAATCAAAATATCAAATGGCAGCAAGTTATTGGTAATGAGTTTTGACTTTTAAGTTGGTTTCCATTACAACAATTGTTAAGGCTAAATCGAGACAAGAAGTAACCTGATAGAGAGATCCCTTGAAACTAGTTACTATAATAGTTTATGTTCATTTATATCTCTACAAAAATATGGCTTAAGAATTAAAACGAGTACATGAATAAATGAGATATTACTGTGTTTGTCCTGAATTTTTTGTTCATATATATTTGATTATACACAAAATCATCAATTTTTTAATTACATTCCTATTAAATAGTACATTCCTATTAAATAGTGACTTTAATAGATTTTGATGGTGAAATGTGAATTTTAAGTTCATTCTTTATGGTCTATAAAAAAAAAGTATATACATTTTTTGAATTTTTAATAATTTTACATGTATAATTCCCTAAAAAAAATTTACATATGTAATATGTTTATTCATTCTCATAACAATTTGTATAGTAAACAAACTTTTTCTCCCAAATTCATGTTCCGTTAAACAATTTTTAGTTGGCTTTTCTCTGTGTAATTCATTTAGATTGTGTAAGGCACAATTAAAGCACATACATATTTAACTTGCTAAAAGAAATAAATTAATAAGGAGGGAAAGCTTGAGGGAGCGAGGGCAATGGCAGTGATTAGTGATTACTATCTTTATGAATAACCTCTCTCAAGGTGTTCATTTGAGATGGTTGGAAAGGGAATGTAGCAAGTATGGTAGGGTGATGGATTTCTTTATTCCTTGCAAAAGGAGTAGAAATAGAAGAAGATTTGGGTTTGTGCGATATGCATCAATGGATGAAGTAAGAAAGGTTGTATAGAA